TTTTTTTTTTTTTTTTTTTTTTAGTTTTTTTTATGTTTTATTTTGTATTTGAGAGAGAGAAAGAAGAGAGACAGAGCATGAGCAGGGGAGGGGCAAAGAGACAGGGAGACACAGAAGCCGAAGCAGGCTCCAGGCTCTGAGCTGTCAGCACACAGCCCGACGCGGGGCTTGAACCCGTGAGCAGTGAGATCATGACCTGAGCCAAAGTCAGACGCTTAACTGACTGAGCCACCCAGGCGCCCCAAGGAGGTGGTTTCTTGTGATGGAAATCTACTCCTGGTGAAGATGTCATGAAGACTGTCGAAATGACAACAAAGCATTTAGAATATTACATGAACGTAGTTGACAAAAGCAGCAGCAGGGTTTGAGAGGACTGACTCCCAATTTTAAAAGAAGTTCTGCTGTGGGTCAAATGCTATCAATCAGCATCACAGGCTACAGAGAAACCGTTCACGAAAGGAAGAGCCGGTCAACGCAGCATACTTCATGGTTGTCTTATTTTTAACAATTGCCAGAGCCACCCCAACCTTCAGCAACCACCACCCTGGTCAGCAGTCGTCAACACTGAGGCAAGACCCTTGTCCCAAGATTGCCACTGGCTGAAAGCTCAGAGGATGGTTAGTTTTCTTGAGCAATGAAGTATTTTTAACTAGGACATGGACATCTTTTAGACAGATGCTATTGCACGCTTAGTAGACTATAGTGTAACGTAAACAGAACTTTTATATGCACCGTGGAACCAAAAAACTTTATCTTGTTGACTTTATTGCAATATTCACTTCATGGTTGTGGTCTGGAACCAAACCTGCAATGCGTCTGAGGTATATGCCTGTACGTCTTTTGGGGACTGGCTTATTTCACTTAGCATATTGTCCCAAGGCTCATCCCTTTGGTAGCCTATATCAGAATCTCCTTCCTTTTTAAGGCTGAGTAATATTCCACTGAATGTGTATATCACGTTCTGCTTATTCATTCATTCGTCGACGGGCACATGGGCAGCTTCCACCTTTTAGCCATTGTGCGTAACGCTGTCGCGAACACAGGTGTGCAGGTATCTTGGAGATCTTGTTTTCAGTTCTTTTTAGGTCTACCCCAAAGGGACACTGCCTCAGCACATGACACCATTATTTTTAATTTTTTGAAGGACCACCGCATTTCTTTCCATAGTAGCTGTACCATTTTACATTCCCACGAACACTTGTTATCTTCTGTGTTTGGGTTTTTGGAATGGTAGCCATTCTAACGTGTATAAGGTGGTATCTCAATGTAGTTGTTTTGTCAATTATTTCCTAATGATTAGTGATGCTGAGTATCTTTTCACGTGCTTATTGTCCATCTGTAGATCTTTCTTGGGAAAAAACCTATTCAAGTCCTCTGCCCATTTTTTAATCCAGTTTGGTTTTTTGCTACTGAGTTTTAGTTCTCTCTAGATTTTGGATATTAATCCCTTATCCCACAGTATTCGCAAGTATTTTCTCCCACTGTGGGCTGCCTTTTTATTCGGTGAATATGGCCTTTGGATGCACAGAATTTTTCATTCATCGAGTCCGGCTTGTCTATTTTTTCTTTCATTGCCTGTGCCTTTGGTGTCACATGCAAGAAATCATTGCCAAATCCAATGTCGTGAAGCTTTGGCCTTCTGTCTTTTTCTAGAAGTTTCATTGCTTAGGGCTTACATTAGGTCTTTGATCCACTTTGAATTAATTTTTGTATATGGGGTGAGGTAAGAGGGCAACTTCATTCTTTTGCATGTGGATGTCCAGTTTCCCCAGCATCTGTTCCTGAACAAACTGTCCTGTCCCCGCTGAATGGTCTCTTTCTTAAAAATCATTTGATCATATATGCACAGATTGGTCTATGTATCTAATTCCATCTATTTACATGTCTTTGTTCCAGATACGTCTTCAAGTTCATCATTTTCCAGCTTTAACTAATCTGCTGATCCTATCAAGTACTACATTTGAATGGCTACAATTCGTCAATTAAAAAATCTTACTCGGTTCTTCTCCAAATAACGTTCTTTTGGTTTTAGCTCCTTCTTTTAGGTTTCATGACTTTAACCATGATACTTTTCTACTCCTCCATTATTACACCATCGTCTCAAGTTCTGAACTCTAACTTTCCTGTTTGTTGTATCTGTTCAAGCTCTTGCCCATGCTAGATTATTTCTTTGTATTTTATAATTTTTACGGTAAGCCCACCCCTGCGGGGACTTGTTTTTTCCACAGGAATAATGAAGAATCATTGCCTTACTGTCTCTAACAGAGGGACGCCTGTGACAAGAAACAGAAAGTGGAATAGTGGTTCCCAACAGCTGAGGGAGGAGTGTTAAATTATAGCAGTTAATCAATTAAACAGGCAACTGTTTAATAGGTAGCATTCCCATCTTACAGGGTGAAAAGTTTCTAGAGATCAGCTGCAAAATGTTTTTTTATTTATTTTGAGGGAGAAAGCATGAGTGGGGGAAGGGCAGAGAGAGAGAGAGAGAGAGAGAGTGAGAGAGGGAGGAGAGAATGAGAATCCCACGCAGGCTCTGCACCATCAGCACAGACCCCGATGCAGGGCTCAAACTCACGAACGTGAGATCACGACCTGAGGCAAAGTCGGCACTTAACCAACAGAGCCACCCAGGGCGCCGTCCGCACAACAATGTTAATGCTACTAAATTGCACAGTTAAAATTGGTTAAGATGGTAAATTTTACTTTTTGTGGTTTTTACCTCAACTAAAAATAAAAACAAAAGGAAGCCTGTGACAGAGCAGGTAGAAACAGAGAAGACTTGGAAAACGAGAGATTTAGAAGACAAGTAGTGTTGACCACATATCTATAAATAAACTCTAGTGCCCCCATTTCAAAACAGAAGCTAAACCCAAACCCTCCCTTGATGGTATTATTTCCCACCATCAACTACCAAACCTCCAGACGGAACTGTCTCCGTCAGCAGCCTCTGCTCCTTCACCAACCTTGAAAGCCAATGTGTTGGAATACGGCTCTTGGTCCCCACCCAAGGTCTCTAATGACCCAAAACCCAAGGGACACTTTCCAACCTTGCCTTACGCCACCTCCCAGCGGCTCTCCATACAACTGTCATTCCTTCTGTGAACCCTTCATAGCTCGTTTCTTCTACAACGTGTTCTCTTGATTTTCTTCATTCCACACTGCCTTGTCCTCCCCCTTGGCTGAGTTGTCCTCCTCCTGACTTGTACATCTTGGGGTTTGCTCCTGGACATGCTTTTTATTCCTAAACCACTTCATCGATCCCCACTAAAAACCTTTTTGTTTTCATTTTTAAGATTAAAAAAAAAAAAGGAAACAAAAAACCCACAATCCCACTGCCCAGATAGCCTCCCTTGGTCTCTAAAAAAATAAGAATCAGGGGCGCCTGGGTGGCTCAGTTGATTAAGCGTCTGACTCTTGATTTAGGCTCAAGTCATGATCTCATGGTTTGTGTAGTCGAGCCCCGTGTTGGGCTCTGTGCTGACAGCACGGAGCTTGGTTGGGAGTGTCTCTCTCTCTCTCTCTTTTTGCCCCTCCCAGCTCATGCTCTTTCTCTCTCAAAATGAACATTTCAAAATAAAAAATAATAAAAAAAAATAAGAAACAAAACAAAGGGATGATTTGTACGGGTTTGGAATATTCAAGTATCAAGAGGTAGAGGCATCCTCTTCAAGCGGTTCTTCAAGCTGGAGACTCTGGGGTCGTTTGTGATTTTCCCTACTTGCGTCCCGCACCCAAACCCCAGCCAGGTCCTGTCACCTCTGCCCTCCCACACAACTAACTCACCCACTTTCCTCCTCGCCCACCAGCAGGCTCCTAGGTGCTCACCCAGATGATTCGAACAGCCTCCTTCCAGACCCCCAGGCACCTGTCCTCCCCTAAGCCGGCTTCTACACGTCACCCTTCTTTCCTCACCAACCCCGTCAGCCAGGTTCCTGTCTGGGGCCCCTGAACACGCCACATGCTCTTTTCCATCCCGGAGCCTCTGCTCAGGCAGGCTCTGCAGTCAGCTCTCACGCTCGGGCTCCCTGGGCTGGCTCCTGTCCCCTTTCAAGTCTCAGCTTAACCAGCAACTCAGAGGACTGTTTCTGACGAACCCGCCTGAAAGCACACAGCTCTGGTTTTACACACCTCAGACTTTTATTGCTGCTTCTATGGTTACGCGTCATCTATGTCGGTCATGCTCTCGTTTACCGGTTTACTTGTTTGTCTCTGTCTCCCCACCAGACCACAGGCCACGAGAGGGCAGGGGACACCCCCAACTCGTTCTCCATCATATCCCAGCACCACCGATTCCGTATTTGTTGCATAAACGTGCCAGGCATTGCGCCAAGTGCTTTAACACATTATCATATTCTACCTTCACTCGGTGGAAGCATTTCTTCCCCATTTTGTACATGAGAAAACGGAAGCTCAGAAAGGTTAAGTAATGAGCTCACAGTCACACAGCTGGGAGCAGCATGGCAAGACTCAAACCCAGTGTCTGGATCCAAAATCCACACTCCCTCCCATGTGCTCTCTCTCCTGCTGTCTGGCTCTCCTCTCTCCCCAGTGCACGGCCTGTGGGGGGGGGGGGGGCGGGGGGGTGTCGAGTGAATGCAATGCCAACAGCCTAGCAGAGTTTGTGCAGAGAAGGTGCTGGGTCTCACCTCAGAGGTTCTTACCATGTAGGCTACAGAGGCCAGTTCGTAAATGATGGCCTGGGCCCCGAGCTCTGTCACGCTAACCAGTCCTGAAATGTTGGGACAGACACACACAAAACACATCTCAGAAAGTGGATCAAAGCAAACATTTTCCTTGTGAAAACAGAACGTGTCTTAACTTAAAAGAAGCCAGGATCGCCCCCAGGAGCAAAAGCCAATGGCAGAATTCATGATCTGTGTGGAGGAGAACCCCAGGTGTCCACTCCCAGGAAGCTTCCAAGAACTAAGGCAGCTACGACATGGGACAGGTTCACTCTACAAGTCTGTATCCACCAAAGAACAAAACATCAGGTTTAAAGTAGAAAACGAGGCTCCCAGAGTTGCAGGTCATTCCTCGGGCAGACGCGGGGTCGCAACGTGGGGGGTGGGAAGGCAGACAGAGGAACTCTGATGTGGTGGGAGCTGGAGTATTCAAGTGTCTCCAGAGCCTTTAACACCAATCAGTGTCATCCTGTCTCTATTATGTTCTCTATTACTTTCCTGGCAGTAAGATGGCTACGGTGAACACCTAGGACCAAAATTATCACAGCTCTGATAGAAACAAAGATCACGTCTAAAACAGAGCCGAATCAGTCACTCTGTAAATGGATTAAAAATCTGCATGCTGCCCAGCAAAAGTCAGCTGAAGCAGAAGGTCTGAGAGAGTCACGAGACCCAGATTCAGGTTTCAGTTCTCCCTCTCCGTGACCTTGGCACACTTCTTAACCATGACCTCCCTCACTCAATCTATAAAGTGAAGGGCAGTGAGGCAGAGCTAAAGGCCCACTGAACTCGAATATGCTTACGGTTGGGCAAGGATTTAATTCTACGCTGAAAACTCCCACGAGAGCTCGGCAGAATGGAAAGGGAGGAGCAGTAAGACTTATGTCCCTTGAGCTGTGGAGACAAGATCCACCAGGTTGTTCTCAGATTTCCGCTGAACCACTGACCAACCTGCAAGGAAGGTTCCGATCTCAAAGGTCCACCACTCAATGCACACCATGAACATACTGGGGACAGCCAGCTGGATGTAGGAGCCCCATTCTTGGAAACAGTCCCAAGTCCACCCTAGAGAACAGGGGAGAGAGAAAACAGCTTTTACTTTTCAACAGTCTCCGACGTCAACAATTCTACTTCCCATGGCTGCCTCCTGCAAAGGGCCAGAGACTGGGAGGAAGCAGAGGTCTCCAGAAAAAGAATGTATTTTAAAGATGTCAAACAAGGGGCGCCTGGGTGGCGCAGTCGGTTAAGCGTCTGACTTCAGCCAGGTCACGATCTCGCAGCCCGTGAGTTCAAGCCCCGCGTCGGGCTCTGGGCTGATGGCTCAGAGCCTGGAGCCTGTTTCTGATTCTGTGTCTCCCTCTCTCTCTGCCCCTCCCCCATTCATGCTCTGTCTCTCTGTGTCCCAAAAATGAATAAACGTTAAAAAAAAAAAAAAAATTAAAGATGTCAAACAAGACCGGAGTCTGAGATGGTGGGGACAGAGCTGGCAACACTTAGTGAGACTGAGGCACGCGTATGCCCTGCCACCCACACATTTCACTCCTGGGTACCAATGGCAGAGACCCTCCCATAGAGCTCCAGAGGAACACACGGAGGATATTCACTGAGGCAGGCTGTGGTTGTGGGATGGTGGGGCATCACAGAGATCGTCGCTGGGAAACTAGAGAAGTAAATTATGTTCGACGCGTATTACAGTTAAAAGCAGAACACCAGGTGTATATAAAGCAACACGGCGAGATCTGACATTATACTGCTCACAGGTAACTAACGTAAAAACAGATCTTTTCAGCTACATCAAAATTGAAAACTTCTGTGCACCAGAGGACACCATCAACAGAGCAGAGTCTGGCAACCCACGGGATGGGAGAAAATATTTCCAAATCATGTATCGGATAAGGATATCTGGATATCATAACCAGAATATCTAAAGAACTACAATAAAACAACCCGGACGTCTGGGTAGCTCTGTCGGTTGAACATCTGGATGACGCTTGATGTCGGCTCAGGTCACGATCTCGCAGCCCCACGTTGGGCTCTGTGCTGACGGTACGGAGCCTGCTTATGATTCCCTCTCTCCCTCTCTCTCTCTGCTCCTCCCCCACTTGCACACATGTGCATGCAGGCACTCTCTCTCAAGATAAACAGGTAAACGTTAAAATTGTTTAATGATTTAAACAAATGAGCAAAGGCCTTGAATAGACATTTCTCCAAAGATCTACAAACAGCCACCAGCACATGAAAAAAAATGCTCAACCTCACTAATCAATAAGGAAATGCAAATCAAAATCACAGTTAGATGGTATCTCACACCCATTAGAATGGCTGCTTTAAAAAAGAAAAGGAGGGGCGCCTGGGTGGCGCAGTCGGTTGAGCGTCCAACTTCAGCCAGGTCACGATCTCGCGGTCCGTGAGTTCGAGCCCCGCGTCGGGCTCTGGGCTGATGGCTCAGAGCCTGGAGCCTGTTTCCGATTCTGTGTCTCCCTCTCTCTCTGCCCCTCCCCCGTTCATGCTCTGTCTCTCTCTGTCCCAAAAATAAATAAAAACGTTGAAAAAAAAAATTTAAAAAAAAAAAAAAAAAAAGAAAAGGAAAGTAACACATGCTGGTGAGAATGTGGATAGACTGCAACCCGCGTGCCGTGCTGCTGGGCACGTAAAATGGTACGGCCGCTATGGAAATAAAGTATAGTGGTTCCTCAAAAAATTAAGAGGTATCACAGGGTCCAGCAATATCACTGCTGAGCATACAGAAAAAGAAATGAAAGCACATTCTCCAAGAGCTACCTGCACACCCATGTTCAGAGCACCATCATTCCCAACACCCAAGAGGTGGAAGGAGAGTCCACATGCTCATTAAGGGATGAATGGATAAGCGGTATGTGGTCCACACCCACAACGGAGTATTCGTCACTCTCAAAAAGGAAGGAGATTCCGACACGTGCTACAACATGAATCAAACCCGAAGACGCTAAGCGAAGACCCAGAAAGACCAACACTGTATGATTCCACCTAGAGGACGTATCTAGGGAAGCCGAACTTAGAGACAGAAAACCAGTGATGGAACAGTAGTTGCCAGGGGACGGACAAAAGGGAGAAATGGAGTTGTTACTCTTTACCGAGGACAGAGTTCCAGTTCTGCAGGATGAAAAAGTTCTGGAGATGAACGACGGAGATGGTTTCACGGCAACGTGAGTGTGTTTAATGCTACTTACCTATACATCGAAAAATGGTTATGGTGGTAAATTTCATGTTATGTACATTTCACTACAACTTAAAGCAAAACCACCGTCTACGCTATAAATCAGAGAGGTCAATGAACTTTTTTTCCAAAAAGGGCCAAACAGTAAGCATTTTCAACTTTGCAGACCAAATGGTCCCTGAGGCCACTACTCAAGTCTGCTGTAGCAGCACGAGAATGGCCACCGGCAACGTGTGACGATTAGGTGTGGCTGTGTTCGAAACTTTATTTACCAAAGCAAGCTGTGGCTGGATTTAGTTTGTGGGGCTGTTTGCCTACCTCTGTGAAGTGAAAAAAAAAAAAAAAAAAAAAAATTATGAAAAAAAAAAACCAGGAAATCGGAACTCTTATACTCTTAGGTGAATATAAACATATATACAGCCAAAAACAGTAAGACCACTTTGCAGTTTTCAAAGATACACATCAAAAGACATACATTAAACACAGAGAAGGTGCCTCAAAGGAGGACAATGGGAACTGTGACATGGGAGGGAGAAACACTCCAAAACGGGAGGGGGGGCCCCGTAAGAAATGAGGGTATCAGTGTGTCATGAATTTGAGTATGAGAAATTCCAGGACAAGAGAGGGAGAGAAGGGGAGGGGAAGGAGGCACTGAAAAACACTGAGGAATTTCTTTTTTTTTTTTTTTCATGTTTATTTATTTTTGAGAGAGAGACAGAGTGTGAGTGGGGGAGGAGCAGAGAGAGAGGGAGACACAGAATCCGAAGCAGGCCCCAGGCTCTGAACTGTCAGCACAGAGCCCGACGCGGGGCTCGAACTCACGGACCGTGAGATCATGACCTGAGCCGAAGTCGGACGCTTACTGACTGAGCCACCCAGGCGCTCCAACACAGGAATTTCTATAACATAAGAACAAAGAAAGGCCCCAACAGTCATCTTGCCATTCACCTTCCTGGGTCCCAGCAGGAGAAGAGAGGGGCTGGGACCCCACCCTCTACCCCCAAATTTGGAGGTGAAGGCTGGAGGGGAGAACAACATCAAGAACCAATAGAAAAAGATCCACATGAATTATGAGGTGGCTATGGCTGGTGAGAAGGGTCAGAGGTCACGGCACAAGTTCCACTGAGCAGGAAGTGTTAGGAGTTAGGAAAGCACTGCCCGTCCCCCACTTTGTCCCCCATCAGGAGACCAGAAAATCTACCTGCCAGCCTGGACCCATGGGTACAAATGAGCCAGGAGCAGAAAGGGCTGCCGTGTACCGGAGAGGGTATGAACCTGATGCAGTCGTGGTAAGGAAAGCCTGGGACCAGAACGGGTAGATTTCATTTGATCTGATCAGACATAAAACCTTTAAAAAATGGACAGGCCATGGGGTGCCTGGGTGGGTCAGTCGGTTAAGCATCTGACTCTTAGTTTCAACTCAGGTCATGATCTCACAGTTTGTAAGTTCAAGCCCCGCATCGGGCTCTGTGCTGACCGTGCGAAGCCTGCTTGGGATTCTCTCTCCCTCTCTCTCTGCCCCTCTCCTACTCACTCTCCATCTCTCTCTCAAAATAAGTAAATAACATTAAAAAAAATAGGGCAAATATGTGACTCACAAGGAAGACAACCCCCTTGGGAAATAAGCTCACAGACAAAAATCATAAAGAAACAGATCAAAACCACAGTCTGAGGTAGCAGGCATCGGTCAGACGATGCTTGGTGAAATTAAGTGTGGCTTTCAACGCGTCTAAGGTATCATTATGTGCCACAAAGAATCGGCCAATTAAATTATGACATGGTATTTTATATTTTAGTACAACAACCGCAAGAGGAATTCCAATTATAGACGTTAATATGCAAAAAAAAAAAAAAAAATGAGTCTTAAAATTAACAAAGTATGGATACAGGTATGTTCCATGACCCAGGATATAAACAGATAAGAAATCTAATGCCAGGAAAGAAACTCCACGAAACCAACACATGAAAGATTTCACACCGGATAAAGTAGAAATAATAGGACCATCCAAAAAAAAAATTTTTAAGTAAGCGTTCTTAAAATGTTTAGGGCAGGAGGTTTTGAAATAAGGATGGACAGAAAAAGAACCAAGTAACATCTTAGGAATAAAAGACATAACTGTTGCAAACTGAAAACAAAAAATGAATCAGAAAGTAGACAAGTCACAGCTTAAAAGGTGATTAGCAAACAGAGACAGGAAAGAGAAGATGTCTTGAGGTGCAGGACAAAGTTGAGAGAGAACATACGGAAGAGAAATAAAGCCATCTGGAAGGTGTCTGAGTGCAGAGGACAGAACAGTCAGCAATGGAGAATAAACAGTAGAGGAAAAGGCTAAAACTTTTCCAGAGTTTAACTGAGGCCCTCAGATTAAGAAAGGTTACTGAATGTCTAAGATAATTTTCTTTTTTTTTTTTTTT